CAAGGCACTGCAGCCCATGTGCATTCCCAACTCGCATCATACCCTTCCGTTTTTTTGTGATGAAATGGATAGCATTGTTTTACACAATGCAGCTTCGTGGCAGGCAGGAGGGGTAGGTGGGCTCGTGCAAGGGCAGGCACTTGAGTGGTAAAAAGTGCAGCTGCCGGATCAGTGAATATTGGAAACCTGTGTGTGTCTTACGAGACTAAAACACTCATGTGCTGGTTTAAAGCTCTTGTGTATTTTTTCATGTCAAAATCCCTTGAGCCACCTTACGTTTGAGTAGCCATCCCAGAGGCTTCACTTGAGGAAGGGACTGAGGAAAAGCTGCAATCCTGCATTTTGCACCTGATTGATGTGACAAAAGTTAACATCACAGGGGGTGACACACTGTCGTGTGGTGATCCTGGCTTCAGGCTCTCCTCCCTTTCATCCAAACCTGCCACAAGGTTGTAAGAGTAATATTTATTCTTAATTCTCTTGTTCTCTTATAATAAAAATCATTACTGTGTCGGCGATGCGGCGCTTGATTTAGAACATCGATTGTTAATTCTGGCAGTTCTCCTACCAGCAGAGATTTTTAAATAGCAGGAGCTGGATGACTCTTTAGCAGAATAGCTCCTGGGGGACAGGGATTGGTTTTATTGACTGAGTCTCTTTGCCTGTGGGTAACAGCAAAGCTGTGCTGGCTCTTTTTTTCTGTAATTGTGAAGTTAACTAGCTTCTGCCGTGCTGTCAAGTAGATAAGCCTACATCAAAAATCATTGCATTTGCCTGCTGTGAGGTTTGCAATGTGTCTTATTAAATGTTTTCAGCTGCTGCTAAACATTAAGGTAACTGATAATTTACCAGGTATTGAGGATCCTTCTGTGTTTTCAAAGAAAAAGATGCCTTTATTCAGCATTTCTACAGTTGTTGAATCTGGTGTAACTTTTATCCATTGCGGAACTTCCCAAGTGAACCATAAAGCTGAAACAGGTCTTGCATAAATAGGAACTAGAGCTTCTTGGGGAGGGGAACGTATTATCAAATAATGCTATATATGATTATTTTGAAATACGTTAGTTCTACCATGATCATTTTAGTAGAAGCATCCAAGTGACTTACTCAGCCAGAGCAAAGTAAGTCACTTAGAGCAACTGGTATGGACAGGTCAGTGTGGATTTGGTAGTGAGGGGCTTTCCTGGATTTCTCCTTCAGGGGAAAAAGAAGGAAAAGAACCACGTTATGCCCATTGGAGCGGGAAGCAGAGGCGAGCTGCTGGCTGCCGTGCTGGATAATCCTCCTCTTGCTCCTCTCCAGCTGCCAAGCTCCTGGCAGGCCTTTGCAATAGCTGCAGTGAGTCATGGATTCCCAAGAGTGCCACAAAAGGAGAGCGTGGAGCACGCAGAATTCATCCCGCTCAGCTCTGTGTGTGCAGTGCTAAGGGTGCTGGAAATGCCCAGCTGTCCACTGAGGAGCGTGGTGGATGCTGCTGTCCCAAATCACATGCTGGTACAGGACTCCAGCTCAGTTTTCCATTTTTTGTAGCTGCCTGCAGACCTGAGATGCAAGGCAGGGGAGCAGGTTGCACGTCAGCTGTCCACTGAGGAGTGTGGTGGGTGCTGCTGTCCCAAATCACATGATGGTGCAGGACTCCAGCTCAGTTTTCCATGTTTTGTAGCTGCCTGCAGACCTGAGGTGCAAGGCAGGGGAGCAGGTTGCACGCATCCTGCGCCGGAGAGCTCGGAGCTGGGACCCCAGCTGCTGGAGGCAAATTCATCTTTCAGCTGGTTTCAGCCTAGATCCTTCCCTTGACCTGATCAGACACAGCTCCTGGTGAAAAGCAACACGCTTCAACTACTGCAAGTGATGAATGTGTAAAATTACCCCAGGTTTAGATAAGATGGGAGCTTGATTTTTCTTTCAAGAGTGCATCAAGCTGACAGTGCAAGCTTTTTTCCTTTTTACCTAAGGGTAAACTGCCAGAATTTGTCCTCATTAAGAGGATAAGCGTACTGAACACAGATCCATTCACTTCAAAGGCTGGCTGGTTGGCAAGAGCCAGGCCAATTCCTTTTTGATATCCTAAAAGCTAAATACAAGGTTGGATTATGTTGCATCCTTTCTTTTTTCTCTTTTTTTTTTTCCTTCCTCTGGTGGAAGTGGCTGTAACCCAGATGCACAATCCCATCTAACTGAGCTTTTGATTCAGGGACTGGATACGTGAATGGTTTGCATTCCGGTTTGTTCATCCCAAGTATTTGCCTGCCAGGGCCAGCCCTACCCTGGATGGCTCCTGAGCAGTCTGCTCTCTTCTTGGGAGACAGGTAATTCCAGAGCTCTTGTATTTTGTAATTTAACTTGGAGCAGATGCTTCAAATCCAGGCAGATACTGATAACTGACCTTTTTGTGGCCTCATTATAAAATATAACAATCCTCACAGGAAGCTGCCGTCTTCCTCAGCCTCATCGCCACCTGCTAAATCTCCATCAGCACATCTGCCAAGCCAACACCGTTGTATCAAGCAGGGAGTATGTGGCATAGGGCAGAAAGATCCTTTTGAGCTTGAGAAGGAAAGTCTTATCTTTAATCTGAAATAAATTCAGATTAATCAAAACTAATTGAGCCTGAGAATGTCAAGGTAGCCCTGTAAGCCACCGACAGTTTTAACTGCTGTTCAGATGTGATTGTTCTAGCGTTGTAATGATTTTGATCTGTCTTTCACACCAAAGTGGGTCAGCCCTCGCTACCCAGTGACTTTCTGGCGGCACGTGTCTCTCCCTCTTCGCAGCCCACGTGTCAGCAGGCGAGCATAAGGTCCCTTGAGGCTTCCACACTGGTTTTTAACAGAGCTGGATGGTTCAAACGGGCACACAAACGTGGAAAAGTTGGGGTTTTTTCTGGCCCTTCTGTGGGAATTAGTACTTCAGTGCAATAGAAATGCCCAGGCAATGGTACGGCACTGCTTTACAAAGCGGGAGCCCTAGCTCCTCTGGTATTATTCTATTACGACAACTTCATTTCTCTGTGAGCGAGTGCCTGATATAAGTGTAATTGTATTGCGTGATGGATGCTGGCTGAGTACAACAGTGACAGATGCATGCTGAAACTGTGTGAAAATTTTTGCAGCCAAAGCAAAACTGGCAAAGGTTTGGCTTTTCGCCAGCTTAGCTCGCGGGTGCACAGTATCTGCTGGTTGAACTGCAATGTTTACAGCACCGAAAAGCAGTTCTGGGCATGGTTCTTGTCAGCAGTGGAGAGCAGATAATGTCTCTTATTTTGTTGACCTATGCTGCTCCTCAAGTTGTAGAAACCTTCTTTTGGTTTTGTTCCCAGTTCTGCCCTCATCCTCCTTTTAGGCAAATGCTTAAGCAGGATGGAAAAGTCCTCTGCTCTGGTTCCTTCGAAAGAGCACGGCTGCATAAAGTATTAGGCACTTTAATCCCAAAACTTTTGATGTAAATAGTGAGAAGTCACCTCTTGTGTCTCCCCATCCCCTCTTAGAAATGCTTCTCTTTTTCCTCATGAGCCTCTCTTGCATCATAGGACAGCCATTGACCATGACTATGAAAATCATACTGTAAAGGAAAACAAGGCGATAAAAAAATTGCTCTCCTAGGTGGGGAGGTGAGGAGCAAAGGAGCAGAAGGTGCTGACCACTGTTTCACACAGTGCACTTCTCCTGGGGCACATGCACCAAGCATGATTTTGCACGACAGCGTCTGTCCCAAGGTCACATTCACCTGCTCACGGTCCCTTGGGGGAACAAGGAAGGGAGCTCCCCGCTTCTGTGCAGTTCTACAGTTGTGTGTCTTTGTGTGCATATTAAATACTAACTAAACAGGCATGGGGGTGGAGCTGGCCATAAACCATCGCTAACGAAGCCTGCTGTTTGGCTTTTGTGTCAGGGCAAAATGACAGTCTGGTGTAGCGGGTGTGTAAGTGGAGGGCCATGCCCGCTTAAGGTGCAGCTCTGCTGTTTGCTGTCAACAGTAATCAAGGGTCTGTAAATAGTCTGAAACGGCATTTTTCCAATATTTCTACAAATTAATAACTTGTACTGGGCTCCTGTGCTGTCTTCTGAAGGTCATGGCCCGTACTTTTGCTGCTCCTGCCCTGTCTGCCACCCCAGCCATGGACAAAAGCATTGAGCAGAGGAAGCATGGAAAGGGATTGGTGCTGTTGCCATTGGGAGATTTGATGGGAAGGTGACTGATCGCAGGCGAGTTTGTGCAAGTGCTCACACTCCTGGCCATGAACACAAGCCTGCCCGTGGTCACCAGAGCAGTGCTGTAGGGACCTGTGGGAGAAGACCCCTCAGCAGGGTAAGGACAGCAGTAAGAATTGCAGGACAAAATGAAGCACCAATACCTTGATGACCATTTCTCATCATCCCCAGGGCACCTGGTGTTTGCACTGTTTCTGCCCATTGGGATCCCAAATTACATACACAACCAAACAATGTCTCTGATCCTCCCATTCAGACCCAAAGGGCAAAGCAGAAATGCATTCATAGGTCTGACGGCGGTGCTCCCTGGGGAAAGCCGGAATGGCCACCGTGGGTCTGTCCCGTGGTCCAGAAAAATCCAGAAAGCGGGAGGTGGGAACCAGCCCCTCTGTGCTGTGTGGGCAGGAAGGCAGCAGCCCTCTAGGAAAGGCAGTGGTGGTGGTACGGAGGTGAGGAACCCTCCTGGGAGTGTGTTTTCCCAGTGATCCCTCCAGGGAAGAGCAGAGCCATAAGGTGCCTGAGGACTGATCCTGCAGGACTATGCTGGTGTCATGCTCTTTGGGCCATGCCCGCTCCGAGGTGTTTAGGCAGCATGTTTTCCAATGGGAACTTGTAAGTATTACACCAATACCTAACATAAAGATAAAATCAAATTTCTTTGAAGTCATAATAGGCTATTTTGTTAATTGGACTATACACACATCTTCAGTTTGAATGGAAATGATCAGCCATGATTGTCCACATTAAACAGTCATTTTCATTTACACCTTCTTTTCAGCAGCGGCATCCTTAAAACAGAATGACGTCTTTTGGTGCATTTTCGATGGGTCTTTCCTGTTCTTTCTTCTTAGAATATCTTGCATGGTCATAGAAATATATGATGACGACAGAGGCAATATTCAGAAAAATGATGAGCAGCATGATCCAATATGAATATCCATAAGTGTGTGCAGATTTGATATGTGTCTGCAGAAAAGAGAAACATCCATAGGCCAATTCTACAGACAGGCTGTATTCTTCAATGTTCACAGGAAAAAGTATCATGGCTAAAAGTATGAAGATTCCTAGAAAATATGAATATAAATGTTAGAGGTGAAACTGTAGCATCATTCATGTAGCTACTTATAAACTGTCTACTTAAATTAGTTATACCTGGACTAGGACACAGATTAAACTAATATTTTCCATTAGTAAAATATGAGGTCATTTAAAGATGTTTTGTCCCACCTAATAGTACCTGCCAGGCATTTTCACATTGGTAACTATACCTTGTGCTAAAATGAATGGATTCTCACTGACTGTTTAGATAAGGCCATTGAATGTAATTTATTTCATTTAATTTAGTGCTGAGTAGAATATTCACTCCTTGGGTAATCTGCAGAATGCTTATTTGATATGAGCCCAAATGAATGGGATGTGCAGTATCACAACTGGATAAAACCCTGAGCAACCTGCTCTGTGTTCAGGTTTGGCCCAGCTTTGCTCAAGAGCTTAGACTTAAAGACCTTATGTTGTGTGTGGTGTGGTGTTGGGTTTTTTTCTTTTTTACCAACCCAGATTATTCAATGACTCTGTGATGAGCCAAAATGAGATGTCTTATTAATTCTGCATCTGTTTCCTATAACATTCTGAGTATAAGTGAAGTTTGGTTACTTTGACATTTAGCTAAATAATGCTTTTACATCTCTGCTTTCATAATGCTAACAAAGGTATTTTCAGCAGCTTTCGGAGATTAAATTTCTCTTTCTTCCCTCTGGGTACACCATCCTACGGATGGTCTCTGAAACAGGTTCAAGTTTTTGCAGGACACTGGACTTTCAGGTCACCCGGTAGGAGAATTAGGAACCTTCAGGATACAGTCACAGATCAAATGATGCATGATATTTCATAGAAATACGCCCATGGCAAAATAGACTTTCCAGGTCATAGCTCTTACAGGGCTGTAAAAAGTAACCACGATCCTCTGTCAACATGGGGGCTTACTTTCTCACTAATATTTATTCTGGCAAGCCCATGGTCCTTTCAGTTTAGGTCAAAGTCTGCGGATTTTGGCTGCATAATGGGACCTGGGGTCAGGAAATTAACTTTCTCGTGTGATCTGGTTGTCTTAAAAGTTGAAAAACTGTCTAATCTAGGCTTTTGCTCACTTTTCATACTGTGTGTCAAGGCAGCCACAGCTGTTTCAGCATCTGTCTTTATACACCCTGTTAGATACAGCTGGAGAAAAAGGGGTGGGTTTGAGACACCCCCACCTGTACTTGAAATGATTAAATTTATCCGTAAGATTCCCTTTCCACCAAGGGCAGACTTTGGCAAAGGCAGGTCACAGAGTGCAGCCCCAGGACAGGACACTGATTAAGGGAAGGAAAGTTCCCGCTCCGCGAGCGAAGCATCTTCAGACCTGAAGAACTTTTGAAGGACAAAACGCCAACGCTGAAGTACTCTGTAATCAGATGTCTTCAAAGAAAATTTCCCAAGTGCAAGCACAGTATTAGAGGAACACACAATCCTCTTGAGACAAACCGAGTGTGAGAGCTGAGGTCATTACCATAGCAAGATGAAGAGGGTGGGAAGGTGCGTTAGGAGCAGTCTAGCGGGTGAACGAGGGGTTACACCTCCAGGGAGCTGTTTGACAGAGTTCACATCACTAATAACTCAGTGTCTCTACCTTTTTTTTTTTTTTTTTCCCTGCTTAGGGAATCTTAAAACTTATTCTTGTTCTGTGAAAGTGTATTTTAGAGAAAGAAATGAATTTTGCAATGACAGCCCTCCTAACTGCCTCCCCTCCCTCCCCCTGCCATGTTAATGCTGCTGTGGACGTACCTCATTCAACACGTTTTTGGGAAATGAAGCTGGAGTCCATCCTATAGATTAGACCTTAGAGGCCTAATTTGGTATGTAGATAACCCAGCCACAGATACGTTACAAATACCATAAAATAGTGACAGAAGGTCTTACAGAGGTTACAAATTGCACTGTAGTCACAGTCACTGCATACTTCTACAGTTTCATTCTGTATTTGTCAGCTAACTCTGTTCTTCTCAATGTGCATCATGTGTGAAACGATGCTACACCTGTTGGGGCTTTTTAATTTCCATCTTTGCTGCCAGTGAATCCAGACGCCTCCTGATCAGGGGTGCCAGTTCAAGTAAATAATACTATTTTTACTAGTACTTAAAAGTTAGTTTTCAGCTATCTCAGCAGACAGTTAAAAACAAAAGCCAACTGAACAGAATACTCTTCCACATGTTTCCTATTACAGATATATATTTCTTAATCTTGGAGTGGATAAGAATACAGTATTTATCCATACGGTGGGCAGAAAGTGGTCAGCATGGAGCGTGTTACTCACCACATAAAGAATTCCAGGTATAGACTCCGGTGGGTCCCAAAAACGTCTGGTAGGGATTACTGACAGCATTAGTGCAGGTAAATCCAGAGCTCAGAAGGGAACTCAGCAGACCGAGAACCAGAATCACAATAATCGCAGTGATCATGCTTTTCGCCTTGGAGTTGCTCAGGTTATCTGAAACTGAAACGCAGGGCTCAGGATTGATACTCAACCTTCCCAGCACAGTCTGGTGGGCTCAGACAACCTTGTGACTTACTGACATGCCTGTAATTAAAAGCTGATCATCAGAGACTTGGCTGATCTGTAGGGATTGTGATGTAGAAGGAACAGTAGGTTTGGGCATGGCATGTGAACCCAAATCCAAAATAGGGTGAAGGTGTGTTAGGCTGGAATTAGTGCATGTCTGCTAATCCTGCAGACACATAAACTTCCTGGGCATTGGGTTGGGTTGTAAACTTCTCTTCCTTAATACTTCTGTAAATATTTGTGATATGGCCAGACAGAAACTGTATACCTAAATTGGATCAGAAACCTAGGTGTTCTTCTGCCCGTCGTTCCTGAGTATCTGGTAACTTCTGCAGATACCTGTTTAAAACTTGGCTCCAACTGTAGATTATTTTCTTTTAATATATCAGCAGTGCCCTCATATGGAATAAAAATGATGAGGGGAATGACTTTTTAAAAGTCCTGTAAAGCTGTTAGCCTGGAAGGGTCAGGTGCATTTGTGGGATGAACAAAACTGAGCATGGTCACTCGTGGACAGATGAGCCGTGACTGAGCTGGTCTTCATAGTCTGGCAAGAGCTCTCTCTTTCCACACCCTGCAGAAAAAATAATTGGTAGAGGCAGTACTTGCTCCCTTCTTTTAAAAGGAAGGAGCAACTCCTGTTTTGTTTTCACCGGGAGGACCAGATGCATGGCGTGCTGTGGCTCCAAAGGGACTGTGCTGTGTGGTCACGGCTGGTGGCCCCAGGCTCGGCAAGGGGATGACCGTGGGCTCCGAGCTGCCAGCTCAGCCCTGCCCTCAGCCCCCTCTCCTGAGGCCACGTGTCAGGGAGTCACGCATCTTTGCATCAAGCGTCCTGGCACCTCTCCTTTTCACTACAGTTGATGCACATAGATTGTTGCCTGGTGTAGTTCTGTAGCTATATGCGTAGCTGGCCACATACACTTGGCACATCGTCAACCCCTCCAGGACTAATCAATTTTATTGTTTTTGCCTAAATCCTTCTAGTTATTTGCTATGCTGCCGATTATAAGAGACACAAATCTGAATGCAGTATACTCAAAGTGTAATTGCAGTATAGCTGCATTGAAATATATTATTTTCCTCCTTTCAATTTAAAGATTGAAAAGGCAACTATAATGTGCCTGTGGCTGCCTTACCCTGTCACAAATACAACAACAATGTTTTTAAGCTCTATTCAAATGGGTGTTGTGATAGACAGCCATCTGTAGGAGAACTTCCTATGCTGCTTTTAATGCAAAGCCATTACTGCAAAGTGTTCAGTTCGTGCATAAATTGGAGAAATCATAGCAGAAAAAATAGTAAAAACTCCATAAAAAGAAAATAAACATAACCACAAGAAGAGCCATGGGAAGTCAATGAAAAGAAGAGCTTCTCTCTTGTTTTATATTCCTGGTAGAAGTTAATTTCTGTTTGAGGAAATAGCAAGTAAGGATGAGTTATGGAAATCTGTTGTAAATTTAAGCAATTCTCCTAGAAGAATAAGACAGACAGGTATTGAGGAGACAGCGCGCACTTAAATGGAAGAGAGCACACCGCCGGTTGTACACGCGCTCACGCTGAAGCAGCCGCACTGCTTGGGCATTGCCTAGTTCGAGAAATAAGTCTGGAGCCGAATCAGACAGGTTTGTGTAATTTCCCTCTGGCAGCCTCACTTAATTTTGTCACTCCGAACATCTCCCGAATTGACTGGCTACACCTATTGCACCCCTTAATTGATCTTGTTTATCTCTGACAGTGATCCGCAGTTAGGGGATGTAATTTTGTCAGACTCTGCCTGTTGTAAGCACGCCTGCCACAGCACAAGACCCAAGGTTTTAAATGAAATGCTGGTTTTGTGGTGGCACTTTGTTCTTTTTTCAAAACAAAGCAGTCTGTGCAAACTGAAGCAATCTACAGTAGCTGATCCACTTGAAGGGCATCGATAGTAACACACAACTGGATAATCCCTGCATCACTGTAAAATCACCCAATTCCAGAATGAAAGCAGAAGTTTTTACCATCACCAGGTGTCTTTTTAATTTCCTGTATATTTTTTTTTTTTTCCATCTTTAACTCTTGTATGGTTAAATAGAAATTCCCAAACACTGAGTGACCTGAGCGTGTATGACATCCAGCCGCCAGCCTGGAGTTCTTCTCTAAGCAATGCCGATCTGGCAGCCTTTATGAGGCCTTACCCTACATAATGAATTATTAATTTAAAACAAACAAACACAACCTAGTTTTCTACATTTCGGGACATCCTACAGTACATCTGGAAATTGATGATAAACTTGCTGAAGTTCCAGCAATTTTCAAGCATTTGTCATGTATTTCAGCAGTTAAAAAGTTAATCGGTTCCTCTCTGCTATAGCAAATTTTGAAGACTTCCTCATGTGCCGTTGGCCTTGTGGGTTGCCAATGCTCAGCTAAATCCTGACTTTACAGGAGTCTCTGCGCATGCCTCTTCCAGCACCTTTCTCACAATTTTTAGGTGTTGGAAACAACAAAGCTGTAAACAAGCTCTTTTGCAGACTCATATTCATAGGTGGTTCCTTTCTAAGACAAATCATTAAAACAGCTAGTAAAGACTCTAAGGACTGAAGTTATTCAATAATTTTTACATTCTGCCAGATCATTCTGCTCATCCCCAGAGCCTCTAGAGTAGCCGTATTGATTTATTCCTCTATTAAGGTTGTTCACAGCAGTCTGTTAAAGAGGTTGCTCTGACTAGGCAGCTGATGCACTATAAGCTTGCAGAAACCGTATTACGTTGTTTGTCCTTTATCTTCACGCTCAGAAATGTATTTTAATTTTGGTGTTTCCAAAATAATAAGTTACAGTCTTTGTAAAGGCAGTTGATAATCTGCTTTTGTATTGCCACTAATAAAAGCCAACCTGGGCTATTGCTAACAAGTAATCTATATCCCCATGCTACTGTCTTTGATTTACTCTTTCGTGATTTCTATTCCCCTTTTCTCACACCCAAACATGACAGTGTTATTTGAGAAAGACACTCAGGGTGTACAGCAGAGACCCCCAGCCAGGGCACGCTTGCTGAGCGACAGATTGGGATTTAATGCTGGCTGGCTGCTCGTGGCTTGATGGGTGCACTCTTCGCTGGGTAAAACCCTGGCTGAATGGCTGGCCCCAAAGAGTGCTGGTGAATGGGGTTAAAGCCAGTTGGCAGCTGGTCACCAGCGGTGTTCCCCAGGGTCAGTACTGGGGCCAATTCTGTTTCATATCTTTATCAATGCTCTGGACAAGGGGATCGAGTGCACC